GCTTTGCATTTGGATTGTGATTAAATATTTGACACAGCATAGGTTTCTGACACAGAATGAATGTGGTCTAAGAACTTAAAAAAAAATAAATTGGACATTCACCTATTATGGTCCAATATCCAAAATCTAAATACATGGTTAGATTCAGCATATCAAAGAACCCAAAGAATTCAATTTTTGATGAAATCAAACAAAGTTTAATTTTGGACCCTTTTGACCTCAATGTGGACAAAGTTGATAATGGGGCCCAAAAATCAAAAATCTAAATACATGGTTAGATTCAGCATATCAAAGAACCCCATATATTCAATTTTTGTTGAAATCAAACAAAGTTTAATTTTGGACCACGATTTGGACCAACTTGAAAACTGGGCCCATAATCAAAAATCTAAATACATGTTTAGATCTAGCATATCAAAGAACCCTAAGAATTCAATTTTTGTTAAAATCAAACTAAGTTTAATTTTGGACCCTTTGGACCTTAATGTAGACCAATTTGAAAACGGAACCAAAAATTAAGAATCTAAATACACGGTTAGAATCGGCATATCAAAGAACCCCAATAATTCAATTTTTGATGAAATCAAACAAAGTTTAATTTTGGACCCTTTGGACCTCAATGTGGACCAATTTAAAAACGGGGCCCAAAATCCAAAAACTAAATACATGGTTAGATTCAGCATATTAAAGAACCCCAAGAATTCAAGAATAAAACCCCATTGAAATTGGTCAAGAAATAAGCAATTTATACGAAGTATCTTCTTTTGCACAACACTGTGCAATTAAATATTTCTTGCTATTGCGCAATACTGTACAATTGACAATTTCTTGCTATTGCACAATATTGTGCTATTGGATATTTCTTGCTATTGCGCAATACTGTGCAATTGAAGATTTCTTGCTATTGCGCAATACTGTGCAATTGAAGATTTCTTGCTATTGTGCAATACTGTGCAATTGAAAATTTCTTGCTATTGCACAATACTTATTATATAATAATTTACACATCCTGTTTGGTGTGTATCTCCTACCATACCATTATTATTTGCTTTTAAATATAAATCAGAAATAACCAACTTAAAATGGAAAATTTTAAAAGAAAAAAAAAAGGAAAAAAAGAAAAAAAAGGAAAAATAAAAAAATCCCCCCTCCAAATTTTTTGAACCCCCTTATGATTCATCATCCCCAAACTCAATCCCAGCCTTCCCTTTGTGGTATGGTACCTTGCAGTACAATTTCAGAGAGATCCATACACTTGAACACAAGTTATTGTCTGGAAACTAGATAAGTGTGTTTTTTGGCCCCTTTTTGGCCCCAAATTCCTAAACGTTTAGGGCAATTACCCCAAACTCAAACCCAGCTTTCCCTTTGTGATATGGAACCTTGTAGTACAATTTCAGAAAGATCCATACACTTACACACAAGTTATTGTCCTGAAACTAGAAAAATGCTTGTTTTTTGCCCCTTTTTTGCCCCTAATTCCTAAAATACTGAGGCAATTACCCCCATCATCAATCCCAGCCTTCCCTTTGTGGTATGGTACCTTGCAGTACAATTTCAGAGAGATCCTTACACTTGAACACAAGTTATTGTCTGGAAACTAGAAAAATGCTTATTTTTGGCCCCTTTTTGGCCCCCAATTCCTAAACGTTTCGGCAAGTACCCCCAAACTCAATTCCAGCTTTCCCTTTGTGATATGGAACCTTGTAGTACAATTTCAGAAAGATCCATATACTTACACACAAGTTATTGTCATGAAACTAGAAAAATGCTTGTTTTTTGCCCCTTTTTTTGGCCCCTAATTCCTAAAATTTTGAGGCAATTACCCCCAAAATCAATCCCAGCATTCCTTTTGTGATATGGAACCTTGAGGTACAATGTCAGAGAGATCCATACACTAACACACAAGTTATGTCTGGAAGTTACAAAAATGCTTATTTTTGGCCCCTTTTTGGCCCCTAATTCCTTTACTGTTGGTATCATGACCCCCAAAATCAATCCCAACCTTCCTTTTGTGGTATTGAACCTTGTGGTAAAATTTCATAGAGATCCATTCACTTAAACTAAAGTTAGAGTGCGAAAACCAATGTGTCTTCGGACGACGCCGGACGACGACGACGACGCCAACGTCATACCAATATACGACCACAAAAATTTTTTTGTGGTCGTATAAAAATCAGAGGATGTGGTATGATTGCTAATGAGACAACTATCCATCAGAGACCAAAGAATTATAAAAATTATAGGGCACTTTATGGCCTTCAACAATGAGCATAACCCATACCCTATAGTAAGATATAAAAGGCCTGTTATGACAAAATGCCATTTTTGTACATGTATATGTATGAGTTAACTTCAACAAACTTTTTGACCATGATCATCACAATATGGTTTTCTTCCAAGTACACAACACACTTTCCAGTACATTGTAATAGTGGATATTTATGCAAGTTTCATCACCAATCTTGAAGGGGTTTAATATTTGAGAATAGTTTTTTTTTTTATTTGCACATGTGTGGATAATTTGAACCAAGTTTGTGACCCTTTCTTTCAAAGTTCTTTCAAGTTTCCTTTCAAATATTTTGTCCACTGAAAAAACAGTATTTGCTTATTTGGTGCAGTGAAATTGGAACCATTAATTTTCTTGCACCTCAATTTGAATAAATGGCTTTGCCGAGCGCAGCTGGATACGACCGCAGAGGTCCAACCCTGAACAGTTGGGTCAAAAATGGACACAATATTCGCGCTTGATACAGGTCTGAATTTGGATTGTAATTAAATATTTGACACATAATAGGTTTCTGACACAGAATAACTGTAGTCAAATAACTTAGAATTGGTTATATGATGTGAATTTGTATTCAGTTTTTTGCTTTTGTGCAATACACTTTGCTGTTGCGAATTGCCCCCCCCCCAAAAAAAAAAATGTACCCCCCTTTATTTTGCTTTTAAATATTTGAAATTTGCTCTTTAATTTCTGAAATCTGAAAAGAGAAAAAATTGTCCCCCCCTCACAATTTCTTTTTTAGCCCCCCCCCCAATTTTTTTTCACCTCCTCCCCTTTTTCCAAAAAAAAAATTCTTTCCCTCAAGATATGGTCTTAATCTCAATTCAAATTTCCAATGGAGTTTGCAACCATAATTTCCCATTTAAATACATCATAAAAGACTTAAAATAGAAAATGACATACATAATCATGGCTAAAATTAATATTCCTTAATCAGCATTTTTTAATAGTAACTTCTAACAATAAATTGAGAGCTAATCACCTCAAGACAATACAACATTTCTTAATACATAATTTAAAAGCAGTGTAAGAGAGGTAATCCAAACATAACATTGTACTTTTTTTTAATTGTCCATTAACCAGGAAACCCTTGTTTTCCCCTTTTTTGCCCCTAATTCCTAAACGGTTTGAGCCATAACCCCCCAAAGCTAATTCTAACCATCCCTTTGTGGTATGGAAACTTGTGGTATAATTTCAGAGAGATCCATACACCGTTCCACAAGTTATTGTCTCGATACTGGAAAAATGCTTATTTGGGCTTTTTGGCCCCTAATTTCTAAACTGTTAGGACTATAGCCCTCAAAATCAATCCCAACCTTCCTTTTGCGGTTATAAACCTTGTGTTTAAATTTCATAGATTTCTTTTTACATTTACTAAAGTTATTGTCCGGAAACCAAATGTCTTTGGAAGACGCTGATGTGATACCAATATACGACCGCAAATTGTGGTCGTATAAAAATCACCTGGTATTAAAATGATATCCTTCAAATGCTCACAAGACAATTGTCAGAATTCAGAACCTGTGTTAAAATTGATGCAGCTTGTCTTATGTATTTACTTTTATCTTTCAAAGTTATTTCATCAAAGGAAAACATATTGCTTCAATTTGAGATATGCCTATTTTTATTCGGGAAAGCATTTCCACAACAGATATTTTCTATGGAATGTCCTTTACAAAGATCACGATGTCAGCCAAATATATATTTTGAGTAGGTGTGTTCGTAAAATTAATTTGAACAAAAATTTTCTAAAAAATAGTTGTTTTGTCAAAAAAAACTTATATCAAATACAATATATGTCGATTAGGACATATAACATACAGTGAGACTTTATAAAATTAAACAGACTTCATCAACATATTCATATAACAATTAAACTAACATATTTCTAAAAGGATATAGAATTAGTTAAATTAGGGACCAAATAATGGCTTTCTTTCCCCTGTTAACTATTGTAGATGTTGTGTTGACAACCTTATAACTACTATCAATAACTGGAAACAAGAGTATGCCATATCGCTGATTAGGGCCTTGTACATGTATATTAAAATGCAGTTGCCATGTAAGGGAAAGTCTTACATAACAATTAGAAAATTTAACATTTGAATATATAACAGAGGTACCTATGAAAATCCTAGAATGTCAGTGGCATCCCTATGTATATTTTCTAGGTGTTATGATAAGTTTTAAGGAATATTAAAGAAATTGTCCATCCAAGATTAACCCTACTTGGAAATATTAATGTCCTTGCAAATAGGATTGCAACATTTGAAATAACAAACCTAATAAAAAATCATTTACATCAGCAGGAGATATCACAAGCATAGATAGTTTGTTTACCGATCACACAGGAGATATCACAAGCATAGATAGTTTGTTTACCGATCACAGAAGGTGTTATCAACCTACACATAACAAAGGCTACATGATATCAACTTACACATGTCAAAGAAGGGGGTTTCTCTCTTATCACAGGAGGTTATCAACCTACACATGTCAAAGAATAGGTTTTGTCAAGTACGGAGAACCAAGAGGTTATCAAACTACACATTTCACAAAAAAATAGATTATACTGAGAACCATCATTAGTATCATACACAGGATGATATCTTTTGCACTAATCAAGTGATTTTGTTTAATGTTCTACAAAATTGCTGAAATACTTCTTATTAAATGATCTTTCTGTGTATTCAGTAACTGTGTATTCACTTACTTAATTCATAGAGCCCACCATCTTTGCACACAAAAGCTATAAAATGGGTCTTCAATTTTTCGTCTGCAGGTGGGGCCTGGAAATATAAAAAACAATCTTTAACAAAAATGCGTAAAAACATTTGGACATACAACATATAAAGATTCAGTCCTTTTGTTACATGCTCTAACTTGTAGTTTTTTTGTTTGTCCTAGCTATTCATTAGCATATTACTTTTGCTTTGCAAACCTTTGGACAAAAGCCTTACTAATGAAGAATAATCCTGAAAACAAAATACAGTCCACTCTCGTTATCCCAAAGTTAACTGGACCAAAGAAATATTTTGAGATACTGTAGTTCAACTCAAAAGAAAACCAGAAGTTTGACAGATCAAGGGACACAACTCTTGCCTAGCTGGTAAGGCTAAAATAAATCCGGAAGTCTTAATCAGTACTTTATATGCAACCAAGTTCATAAGTGTAAGATTATGGTTAATTGTTTAAAAACATTTCAATTAATTTTTCATAAACTATAACAATGTATCACTAACTATTTATCATAATGATCTAAGATAATTTCACTCATGAAAAAAGAATGTCATAAATGGTCTGTGAATTTTCTAAGTCCAAGGACCATAACTCTGCACAAAATCATGAGACCTGAACAAAATTCGAAATTGATCTGTAACTTGCAGAGATGCAAACAGTTTTTTTTCTCTGTCAGACATTGGGGCCTACAGGGTAGCAAGTTTTGTCAGACCCATCAAATTTTTGCCAGACCTACATTTTTTTTATATCAGCTTTTTATACAGTAAGAGAAAGGAGATAGGATGTCTTTACAGTGACAGCTGCTTTAGTGGATTATTTTTAGAAAATATCTAAAATTCAATTGAGTTCTTTAATAATTACTACAATATATTTTAAATTTTTTTATTGTGTACCACTGAACATCAGGCTAGGGCCATTCTCCATTTTTTTTGACAGTGCTCTTAAGATTTATAATTGATTACAACTTTCTCAGGAAAGTGAGGACTGAAAAGTCAATTCAGTTTTAAATTTCCCTCTTTAAAGTTCCCAGTTACAACTCTCATCACAGGGATACATGTACAAAAATCAATCAGATTGATATAAGCTGTGTGCAGCTTGTTTCCAGATCTTACTTTTTGTTATCCTTGTATATTTTGATATATTTGTAAATTACATGAATAAATATGTTTAAACTTCAAAAAGCAACATTTGAAAATTTTATAATTTTTTACTAACTTTAATTAATAAATTTTCAACAAGGCAAATTTAAATTCCCCACTAATAGGTTAGCACCAAAAATGCTAGATCTTAGTAAAATCCTAGAGAACTGCCTGCCGGTCATTAGGTCTTGCACAAAAGCCCAATTTGCCGGACCTGCTCAATTTCTGCCCCCTCGGGCCGACAGGTCCGACGATTAGTTGCATGTCTGAACTTGTCATTTTAAAACTGTATATTAATTTTCAAATCAGTATCTTCAAGCATGACAAAAAAAAGTGTGGAAAACTGATTATTTGGGCCAGGTGAGTTAAAAAGGAGATGCACACTGCTTGGAATAAAGTAATTCTAACAAGTTGTGTTCCATTCCTTTTTAAACTGCACTAACACTGTTGTGATTGACAGATAACTGACAAGTTAAAAATGCTTTCTCTCTCCATATTTGTAGGAGATATAGACATGAAATCTGTTACCTGTGTCTGTCCTTCCTGGGCACTATCTCCATGTGCAGAACCCATATCCTGAAATATATAATTACCTTCTATTTAACTGATCAATGGGAGATAACTCTATCTCACAAAACAAAAACAGATTTCAGAATATTTGATATAATTCTAATTATAAGGTGTATTTAATTATCCAGGGAAAAAAAGGCTTAATCCTCAGTAAAACTGAAATGCTATTTTAAAGGATACTGGGTAATAGCTGTTAAACATATGCTGTTTTCATTCCACGCAATTGATTTTATTCTTAAAACAAAATGCACTTATTAAACCCCTTCCCAATAATAAGTGATAAAAATAAGTGAATAAGCTAACCTGTAACACTGTTTATACTGTTCATTTCTATACACTAATACGAAAACAGTTCTGTACTTATGGGAGTAAATGTCTAATGTAGAAGATGAAAGTATTGTCCAATTTTTTGCATTTTCATAATAAAACTGTTGAATCTTGAATTTTAAACCCTCCTGAGTGTGCTAGATTCAGAAGATATAAATGATTTTGCAGCTTTTCACCCCATCATAAATGGTACTTTAAAGTGTGGTTAATACATGTGAAGACTTAAAAAGTTACCGCCATAAGGTGTTAACAGAGGCAGATTTAGAGGAGGCCAGGGTCCCCTTCAGGAGCTAAATATATGATTAATGCATAGACCTTTTACAAGTCACCCCCTTAACATTGCTTTACTGGGTCCCCCACCTTTTCATGGATTTGCACCTGTGTTAAAAGCAAAATACTTTGCTTATTTTATATAAATAGCAAAAAGGAGTTGGTTCACAAACCAATATTTTTGGCCATAAAAATCTAAAAAATTTTGACTGTGATAATGATTTGAAAATTTGATGAAAACATATGTTAAAATGTCAAATTGTTTCAGTTAAAGAAGATTACAGTCAACTGTGTCAGAAGTGATGTATTTGTGAATTTCATTAAAATCAGATTTAAGCTGTAATAATTTGGCAAAATTTACAGTTTTCTGAAAAATTAACAGTGGGCCACCCCTTACCCACAAATATTTTTCATGATTTATTTCTAATATACCATATTCCTTATTATTCAATCAAATTCAAATGGTCAAGGGGTGGTACTACACAGGAAATCTTTAACTGTCAACTGACCCCTATTTTGAGAGTGACACCCAAGAATTTAAGAGCTCACTCAAGGTTTTTCAATACCTGCCCAGGTTATCAAATAACCTGAGGTTTCATCAAATGACCGGTTTCCACCTGTATTCTTATGTTATATAAGACATCCCCTGTCTAAAATGATAGATTTTTCTCTGAAAAACAGAAAAATTAAAAATTCTTTCTGGACAAAAAGTTCAATAATCTGCTCTCAATAGATTGAATTTTGACAATTTTTTGATTGAAAGGTAAAATCAATTTGCTAATTATCATAATAAATTGTATCCCAGAAACGTTGTAACTAGTCAAGCTTGACATACAATTTATGTCCTGATTTATAATATTTTCTGTTTGCAAAATATTAATTTTCCTATTAAAATCATTTTAAAACAATTTGAATCTCTTCATACATATATCTGTAGGAGAGTATCACTTAAAATCAATGAGCTCTACAAATAATTGCACAGAATGTAAACAACAGTAAAATCTTCTTCTCTCAATTTTATCTTCCTACCAACAGAAAGTTTAGAACAAGGGTGTATCAGTGAGTTTTATTTACTTTCTTATAAACATTTGTATTTAGTTTGTACTAGCATATGGATCTTCTTCTTAGTTTTATGCAAATTGGAATGTAGTGTTTTATTCTGGGGCCAACAAATTGTAAAATAAAAACATTGTTGTGCAACGGTTACTGTTACATTCAGTTTGATTTGGCATTGCCACTTTTTCTTTGACCTTTGTGTTTAAATATTTCTTTGGTATCTTAAACCTCTTATTTAACAAGACAAATACTCTGTCTGGACCTGCATTGCTCCATGCAATTGATTGATGTAATATGTATACTGAAGCATAACTGATCATTCCCTTATAGAAAATTTACCTAGTACAATGAGTGTTTTTAAGATTTCAAACTATCAGTTAACAGGAAGTGGCTACACAGCAGATGATAATTATAGATTATAACATGGCATTTTTCATATAAGACCCCTTATCAGCCAGAGAGCCGACAGGCTCTCAGGATGATTTTGACCATGGGCTGTTAAGGGGTCTGATATGAAAAATGACATGTTATGTTCTTTTTATCATATACTTTAGCAGAAGCTATACAGACAAGAAGAACTTTTTTAAAACTTTATAAAATTCATTTATTGTATTATTTGTCTTGTATTTTTTAATAATATATTTTCCTGTTTCCTAATATTCGCTCTTTTATTCTACTTAGTTATATTTTTCACTAAAATGTGAGGTTTATTTTCTGGAATTTGCAGAATGAAGTCGAAAATGCTTTGCGAGAACCTTTAAGAAAAACAATTGTGATAAAATTTTAAGCTATCGACAAACAGGAAGTGGATACACGACAGATGTAAAAAATTGCCTACTTGCTACAACCAAATATTATTTAAGCTGTACACCAAATATTAAATCATTAATCAAAGAAAAATTTGACAAAAGATTTCTTTCAGAAGGAGAGAGTAGAGTGGATACAAGACCTGCTTCTACCTTCAGTGAGGCAGGTAACTACATTGAAATAGTTTATATCCCTGTCCTATGGTGTTTATTTGATAGTGGTCTCAGTTGAAATCATCCAACATCTCACACTTTCATAAAAAATAACCTGACATTTAACATGCATCAACAGAGTCCTAAGATTGCTTTGACAGCTTTTTTAGGCCTTACTTGGGCCATGGGACTACCCTCAGCCATTAGAGTAATCTTGTTTCACATTTTTCAAGTCTGGGCCTTTTATAGCTGACTATAAAGTTTGTTTTTTTTTTCATTGATAAAGGCTGAACGGTGATTTATAACTTAATTGAAATGATCATCATCATTTCAACTCTGATGGATATTTGTCCCATTTTGGGAATCATACCACACCTCCTTATTTTTATATTGGACTGGTATTAAGGTACAGCTTTAATTACTCAAATTAATCTGATCTTCTGGAAATTTGACTGATATTTTCTAAGTCCATGTTTTAAAATATATTGATTTTGTATTTACATTTTGTCATAGATCAAATTTATTCGTTCAGTGTATGTTCACATGTGTTAATATATCTTTTGATTGAGTTAAGCCATTTCAATTGATATCTTATAGTGTGTCTTTTTTATGTTGTGATGTTACACTAATGTTTCAGATAAGGGCGAAGGTTGGTACCTATTAAAACATTTAAACCCGCTGCATTTGTTTGCACCTGTCCTAAGTCAGGAATCTGATGTTCTTTAGTTGTCGTTTGTTGATGTGGTTCATAAGTGTTTCTCGTTTCTCGTTTTTTATATAGATTAGACCATTGGTTTTCCCATTTGAATGGTTTTACAAGTCATTTTTGGGGCCCTTTATAGCTTGCTGTTCAGTGTGAGCCTATGCTCCGTGTTGAAGACCGTACTTTGACCTATAATGGTTTACTTTTACAAATTGTGACTTGGATGGAGAGTTGTCTCATTGGCACTCATACATCATTTTCTTTAATATATCTATTTAAAAATATGTTTTTCATTTTAGTTTAATTTTCTAACTTTATCAATAAACAGTGAATACTTTCATACTCTTGAAATATAATCTAACTATACAACCTTGTCTTTTTCAAGAAATGCTGCTCTTTCTTCAGGAGATAGTTTCAAACAACCTTCTATAAACTGTCCGAAGTGTTTCCCATCTGAAAGATAAAACAGTTGATAAAGGACTTTTATAAGCAAAAGATACATTTCAATGTCACAAACAAAAGGTATTATGGTATTCCTTTGTCAGTCTGTGTGTAAATCCACACATCTTACAAAAGCAAGAGAATGTTTTGATCAAAGTTCATGACTTGTATGAAATATTACACTCAGCGAAAGAAAGCTCCCTTTTTTGGCAGATTGTCGCAGAATAAAAGGACCTTTTCTGTCAGATTAAAGGCATTTTTTTCACAGGTCATACACAAATTCAAGTATTCTTAGATTGTTTCACTTTAAACTGAAAGCTGTTGTTGGGATTGGTAAAACTCAGATTCATTTCAATTTTGAATTTTTCAAAATCTGTGTATATAACACAATTTCCAAGGTGATTTAAATATTGTCATACTTTTAATACTCATTAAAGTATCAAGATTCTGTTTTCATAATTTTAATCAAATACAATCATAAGTTGCTAGGCTGCTTACAAAGTGAGTGCAACAAACATGATAAATCCTTTAAATTCATATTGATTTTTATATTTCAATTTTGACACTGAAATCGATAAAAATGAAACGAAATATAGTAAAGGGAATTTCCAACTGATAAGAATCCTCCATTTTTATTATATGGGAGAAAAGAAAGAGAATAATCAACTTTTGATTTATCATTTCAGTGAGTACTTGAAGTTATTGTTCAACATATTTTAAAGTATTATCAAAAAAGTTATAGAGAATTACATAGTTCTTCAAATCACTTGTTTACATTTAATAAGAATCTCTTATGTAGCAGGTATTACACACCTGATTCCATTTTCAAAATCAACAATGGACACTCACCAAAAAAGATCAATCAGAATCAAGAACAGCCTTTTGCGACCATGCTTTTTTGCATTTGTAATTAAATGAGGTATTTTTATTTACAAACATTCATACCATTTTCCTGAAAACATTGCTTCAGCTATGCTTGATATAAGTAAACAGGATAAAAATGTGATTTCCAATATGGGTCAATTAGGACATTATTGTCTAAATGATTGCTTTCGTATTAGCATTAAAAGTTCTTTTGAAAATTGTCTGCCATTCATTATTTATAAAAAGTTTGAATCGATTTAGCATGGACATATTAGGGGAAGTTTTAGACTGACCAATCAGAATTAAGATTGGCTTGTTTGTCACCCATTCATTACAAAAGGATACTCTTTTGAACAGGGTCTTACAATCATCATTCCAATAGAGTTCATAATTATATGGTTTTGAAGACATTGGATTTTAACAGACTGAGGTAAAATGCAAAATAAACTGTTGACACAGAAATATGTGAAACATTTTGTAATTTTGATAGTAAAATCCAAATGTTGAAATTAAAATGGCTATATTTAAACATGTAATCTATTCAAAACATTCTAAGTCAATGAACCATAAGTGGTTCCCTTTTAACTATCCTAAATAATGACCATGACTGAGGGGGTGAGGCCAAATAATCTCCCTGGAAATGAGATCTGCCAATGCTGATACAACTGCATACCATAAATCATGGATCTATCACTAGTGGTTCACCATTAAACTGATCTAATCACAAACAAATATATTGTTGGCGTTGCAGACTGAAACAGCACGCCCAAGTCTTGCTTTTTCGACTCATTGAAGCGAGACAAAAAACTGTGTAATATTTCAAAAACTGAAGTAATTATGGAAGATCTAACGGGAAAATACTCAGAAGTCAACATCTACTGAAAATCTAGGAAGTCAACGAGCAACACAAATTCATTTAAATAAATCACATTCTATGATACAATTTCAAGAAAAATCAATGACTAAAATTCTTTCACTTTTTTGGTAGAATGGACAGAGAAGATCAACGACGTTACTTTGTAGTTGGGTCAGTGTTCATGGAGATTGTTACACCACTGTTCAGACAGAAGCTGGTAAATGACTACACAAATAAAGGGTTTGGATCTATCCACGATTTCATCAACAGTCAATCAGTAATACACGTCCTGTTCCATCTTAGACATAGAAACACACATTGCTGTCAGGATCAAGTACACTGTTACAATAGTCCAGCCCTTCCTTTAAACTACAGCCAATGGGACCTCTTGTACACAGAAAATCCAGGACCAGGACCTCACAACTGTCATTGTAAATTTACAGCCAATCAAATCAAACTGGATGACCTTGATATCACCTTGGCAAGTTTGATATTGTTGAACTGCTGTAACCTGGGACAAGACGAAAATGTTGTATGAAAATTGCGACAATACAAAAATGATTATTTGAGTCACAACACCAAAGGTCAAATTACAGAAACAGAATACAACACACTATGGACTGACCTTGAAAGCTTCATCCTACAACATGATCCCAGTAAGAAAGATGACCTTATCAGGTTACAAAAGAGACCTCTGGATCAACCACTGTGTGACAAGTATCTAACATGTCTACTTGACCTCCATAAAAAACTGGATGAGGTAGTTAGATATTTATTTGCAATATTCTTTTATCTAATGCAGTTCATTTGTTTTTAATTAGAAGGTTCAGCTTTTCTCCTCTAATATGCTGTATATAACCAGTTAACATAACCATGGGAACTTTTAAACTATATATTTCTGACATGCATTGTAACCTTTTCCCTCATTAAAAATTCTGCCTACTGTAGCAACTTTTCCTCTGCTTTTAACATGGCATCTTCCAATTGACCAATGGTCACTGATGCTGGGTGTATATTTATACATATTGTACAAAGCTACAATACTATAGGATTTGGTTTTTGAATAAATACTATATCAGAAGATTACCAAACATTGTCAAGAAGTTCATGGCATCCTCATTAAATATGCATTTTTGACATTTTGACCTTTCCAAAGTTGCATTTTGAAATACTAAGGCTTTTCTACCTCAGGAATTGATTACCTTAGCTGTATTTGGCAAAACTTTTAGGAATTTTGGGTCCTCAATGCTCTTCAACTTCATACTTTATTTGGCCTTTTTAACTTTTTTAACTTTTATTTTTTTCTTTTTTTTATTCGAGCGTCACTGATGAGTCTTTTGTAGATGAAACGCGCGTCTGGCGCAAATAAAAAATTTCAATCCTGGTATCTATGATGAGTTTATTTACAACCACTGGGTTGATGCCAATGCTGGTGGAGGTTTCTCCCCGAGGGTATCACCAGTCCAGTAGTCAGCACTTCTGTGTTGACATGAATTATCATTGATATGGTAATAATTATAAATTAACTTTTTACAAAACTTTGATATTTTGAAATACTACGGCTTTTCTATCTCAGGAATAGATTACCTTAGCTGTATTTAGCAAAGCTTTTAGGAATTTTTGGTCCTCAATGATCTTGAACTTCGTACTTTATTTTGCCTTTTTAACCCTTTTTTTTTTTCTTTATTCGAGCGTCACTGATGAGTCTTTTGTAGACAAAACATGCGTCTGGCGCAAATACAAAATTTCAATCCGGGTATCTATGATGAGTTTATTTATTTGCAAGGTCCAAGATTAAATTCAAAGGTATTACATTTTTTTTTAAACTCTGTTCACTCTTCAGGCAAAAAGAGGTGACTTATTAATATGTCTTGCCTCCTGTAATTAATGTCAAGTATTTTTTAAATAGATTAGAGATGTGTCGAAAAGACGACAACCTGACCAAACAGCAGAAGAACAGAAAAAGAACTAGACTGCTGTGAGATTTTCCAACAGCAGACAATTGTCATGCAAACTTATCAAGGTCAATAAAAACTAGAAAAGTAGGTCATCCAAAAAGGAACAACAAACTTGATCTGCTACCTACAGTTATACATAAATGAATAAAAATAATAAGTTTTATATCTATAGGTGTAAAGAAAATAGTATCGACAAAAAAATTTTCATATTCCAAGCAAGACAATTCCATCAGCAGGGGAAGTTCAAAGGAAGTCTTAAGATCATTCTTTGTTAAATCAATCTGATAATAATATTTTGACCATTTCAGATGGACACTAAATTAGACCATCAAACAGAATAACTTCAGGTAAGTTGAAGTATACATTTTTTTTTGAAACAGACATGTGACAGAGTTGTCAGGTAGCAACTGGAGATTTGAAAAGTTTTCAGCTGGAGTTAGGGTCTCATAATCCACATTTTCAGTATTCATTTTGATAAAAAATACATATTTCCCATTTTTTTAAGATGAGAATATAACTTTTTATTGTATTCACTTTACAAGGTAAATGAAGAACTCTATTTCGTCATTGTCTCAGCACAGTAGAGTGATATGAAAACTTATCGCTAGAATCTAAGGGCGCACATGCTGTTGTCAATGAAATTAATAAGGTCGTCATAGGTAAAATAGTGATAAACAGATTATCATTGGTCATCTCAACTCGATTGCTTTTCTCGCTTTCGGCGTACCAGCTCAAGCGAGAAAATCAATCGAGTTGAGATGACCAACGATAATCTATAAATACGAGATGTTGAAGTCCTTTTAACTTCTAAAAAATTATGAAAAAAACATTTTTTTTTAATCTAAATTCATGAATCATAATATATTACTAGAACACACCTGCGACATCCCATGTCCGTCACTGAATTAAAGTAACTACGCCTTATTTTAAGCTTGGATTTTTAGTAATCGTATTGTCATCTGATAAAGTCTTGCTGATTAAAAGGTTACAGTTTTCTCTGCTTTCAAAATCTTTGTTTGAACCTGTCCTGGTTTTCTTACTACAACTGGAAAATTCATGTGACAAAGATTGTATTTAGACGTGTTATTCCCTGTGTAATGATGAAGTTCAGGTGTGATTATGGCCCGTGTTTATAGCAAAATACACTGTTTGGTGGTGTGCTTGACAGGGGTGGAACGTACAGATTAGGTAACAAGTAACAGGAGACATATACTATTGGTATCGGTATCGGTATCGGATTTGGATTCGACCCAGAACTTATTAATTATTGGTAATATTAATTATGTGGAAAGCAAAAGGGCCTGGAATGGTGTAACTTTTAAACAACACCATTT